ATTTCAAATGTTAGAAATTTATTTCAATTAAACTTTAATTAATATTTTCAATATTAACATTTATTCGTTGATCATTTAAATAATCATGTAATTATTGTTCATTATTTATTTTTATGCATTTCAATTAATTATTTATTCCAATTGATTTTCATTATTTGTTTCAATTGTTTATTTAAATTATTTGATTTAATTACTTATATGGAAAGATTAATTAAATTATTTATTGAACAAGCAAACGTAAATATTTAATTATTTAATTCAAATGTTAGAAATTTGTATTAATTAAATTTTAATTAATAACATTTATTTATTTATCATTTAAATAATCATTTAATTATTATTTAAATGTTCATTATTTATTTTTGTGAGTTTCAATTAATTATTTATTCCAATGATTTTTCATTTCAATTGTTCATTTAAATTATTTGATTTAATTACTTATATAGATCAATTATTTAAATTATTTATTGAACAAGTAAACGTAAATATTCAATTATTTATTTCAAATGTTAGAAATTTCTTTCAATTAATATGTAGTTAAATTTTAATTGCGTATTTTGATTATTAACATTTATTCATTATTTACATTTTTCTTTTATCATTTAAATAATAATTAAATAATTATTTAAATAATAATTTAATAACATTTCAATTATTTTAATTCTCATGAAAAAAATTAAAATAAAAAATTAATACTGCAGACGGCCCAGCTTGGCCGTCTGTTAACAGATGGCACAGCCCGTGCCTCTGGCGATCTCCGGCATTCAAACCCTAAAAAAACTTACTTTTTACTAATTTTACATATTTTACGAATATTTCTACCACTATTTCTAACAAAATAAGCCTTTAACATTCAGGTTTAAAGAATACTGAGGGAAAAAATAATCAAAACTTACTTTTTTCGCTTTTAATGTTGGTCGGTCGATCTCCTTCCAAGAAAAACTCGTCAGTCTCCTTGTTTTTTCTTCCCCTTCTTTCTTCATGTCGATTTGAGAGTGAAATGTTAGAGGCAATTTTGGGTTTTCAATATTTTTACAAATTTTTGAATTTTTCTTTTTTAAACAGTAGTCAACTATCATTTTTTAAAATTGTATCTTTTTTGTGGCTATCTGCCACCATTTCCACTAACGTGCATACCTTCATATAAATCCAGTACCTCCACCCTGGTTCACCTTATTATTTCATGTTAAATCGAAGTAGAATTACAAGCTTGATAAATGAGTCGGCCACGACGTCTGAAGCATTCGTTCGAAAATACAGGTGCACAACCAGTGTTATACGCGTACTAAAACATTAGTTCTATTATATAAAGGCAAACTCTTTTGTCAGGCTTGTCATTCTCCTTCTTTAGCATGAAACGACGACGGCTGGGGCCTGGATACCATTTGCCTGACTCCGACTGCAGTGCGGCGAATTGACCGATGACTACCTGGATATCCTAGTTCGTATTTGGAACCCTAATTAATTTTATTATTCAGTTAGGATTTTCATAAACTACGATTTTTGTCTCAATATTTAGGGTTTCTTATCGCTTGTCCATTGCCTATTGGACCCCATAACCACAAGCTATTTTTCCAGCAGATATGGTCATATTGAAACCCTATCATTAAAATCAATTCCTTCATTTTTTTTTTGGTTGACTGTTTGCACGTTGATTTTATATTCAAACCGGGTGATATGTATGCTTATTTATGATATGCATTTTTGTTTATTTATTTAAATTTTTTTTTTTTTTTCACGCAAGTGCTTAGTTCTCTTACTTTTTCCTTATTCCTGTCACTTCTATATGCAACTTCTGTCCCAAATTAATTGTAATTTTGTTCTATACTTCCTGGGAAATATGGTTAAAAAATTATACCATTTATATGCAGAGCATTTTTGGCTTAACTTAAAAGCTCAAAAAATGCGTTCTTTCGGCAAAAGAAGCCATTGTTGGGCTGTTAAATAAGCTAAGCATGCTCTCAAAAAATGGGTTCTTTATACAAAGTAAGCCATTTTTTGGCGGTTAAATAAAGCATGCTCTTTAGAACTTCTGAAAATTACTATGTTATTAGAGGGTTCTGTTGGAAAATGTGAGAGAGAAGTAGATGCAAAACAAGATTTGGTATGTTTATGAACAAATAAATACAAGAGCATGATGCTAATATTTATTCTTGCCCACGAGATTTGGTTATCTGACATGCAATTTTATATGCCGCCTCCAAATTCTTCGGGTATTATTTGTTCATGCACGTGATATGTATGTGTTTTGTTGGCCCTGAGATTAATTTTATTGTCTGGGGGAGGGTTTTAGTTAATTTCTTTCGAGGAAAGTTTGATGACTACCTTAGGTAAGGGGTAGTCGATAAGACTTTAACTCTGTCATGTGTATAAATTTTAGCCCAGCCTGCTTCTAGTTTGCAGTTTACATTTCTACATATTTATTTACTTGTTAGTTGCTTTGTGTTGTCTTGTTTCCACTGCTATTTGACAATTTCCTTGAGACACTTGTTGGCAAGAATGAAAGAGAATTTTCACGTAAGCAAACAATTAATGAATCGGTTGGAAGGCACTTAACCTGCGTGGTGCAATATTAGTCTTTTGATGGATGCTGTCGGACTGTTTTTTGGCATTTGCCTTTCTATATATGTAGGCATTTATCTACTTTGTCAATAAGCCTTTTATAGTATTCAAAGATTTCTAGACTTCACAGGCCTTCTTTCGCTGTCATCCCACACTTGATCAACGATTTGTCGTTTTGCTCCTGCAGTGAAGCTTATCTTCTCTACATCTTTAGCTCATCTAAAGCATTGAAAATTCTTGATGACCAATCTCCTTTCTCTTAGATATTTGAATTATTGGCCTTATCCTATTTTTGTTTTTAATAACTTTACTGCTAATTCTTCCTTCCGCTCATTTGCTTTTTCATTATCTACATGTAACTGGAAACCCTCCTATAGTTCCATACTTGACTATGACCTTTATTAAATATATCCAAGACTTACTGAGCCGCAGCCTCAGGGCAACTGGGGTTCGCCCTGTAGTCTTGCCTTTTTAGGACCTTTTTAATCTTACTCGGCTTTTAAGGCTGATATTTTTAATAACCTAGAAAGTTTTAAGGTTTTTGTGTTATTTTAAACACGACTGAACCCTAGAAATCTGAAATGAATTGGAGATTAGATTAGAGGAGAAGTGAAAAGCTCATGCATGTCTTAGACCTTACTCCTACAGCTAAAGTTTGATCCCTTCAAAGTGATGTTGCAAGTTTTTGGAGACAGATGGTCTTTAACATGTAACTTCAATCGTCCTCTCTTTTATTCACTTTTGTTGTCTGTAGGTTTTTCATTTTCTTTTGAAGTCAAGGTACTGAGAAATTTTGCAATTAGTTGTTCAGTTGTTTCATTAGGTTCATCTCTAATTACTATTCAACATCCCAAAATGCTTTATTTTTTTATTATACATTCTCGAGACCCTAGCATTTATTTATAGATGGAGGAGGATCTGTTTGGGAAGTAAGAATTCCTTGACTTTTTTTATTGTGAAAGGAATTTATGTCGCGGATTAAATCCTAATTTGAATTCCGATAACAATATTGGATAAAGTAAAAACACACATTGTTATCGCATGAAGTAAAAACATACATGCAAATATAGAAGCATAAATATTTAAGGATAATGCTACTTGTACTTAAATAGTTATATAATGGTTTACATATAAATGAAGCCCCTGTTTGGCTCCTATTATTTGAATTTATAATGTGGGGAATAATATTTTTTTGAAGATTGTGTGGTTGAAAGTAGGAAAGAGAAAAAATTAAATTAGATTGAAAAGTTTTAAAGGGGGCCAAACGGGGGCGAAATGTCAAAATTTTTTATTATTTGTTAAATATTTGGTTTAAAAAATTTTGATCCAACAATATTTCATGATATCATTCGTATATATATTAGCATGTAAATCTATTATGTACATGTAGTACAAATTTAAAGTGATACTTGCTCAGTTACTTACACTTGCTAATGCACCTGTATGCAGTGTAGAAATATGTCACAGTTTGGTACAAGAATAAATGCTACATTTGTGCTCACAATCAAAAATATTGTTGGATAATCAAGTTTCAAACTCTAATATTTATTGACCCATTCTGGTTTGGTGACATGGATAATGTTTATTGAATTCAATATAATTAACTAAAATTATATTCTTTTGCTTTACTTCGTTGTCTCCACATCATCTTCTTCCTCACCCTAAGTTTCACGCCCCACCACTAAATTCAGGTTTGGCCCATAAAATTGAGGCCCCACTCTGCAAAATGCTACCAACTGGTAACGCTATTTTGTACTTGTGTTCTTTTCTTCAGTAATATTTTTCTATTGAAAGGTCATAAAGGTCTTTTCAACGAGATTATTAAAATATTTTACTTAAAACGAATTTTCTTTTACATAAATTTAGAGAGTAAAACTATTTTTCCTTGCAGCTCTTTGCATCCATTCTTCTTCTTTTGTACTGGTTTTTAGAGAAAAATGTATTTTTTTTTATGTTAAATCGAAGTAGAATTACAAGCTTGACAAATGAATCGGTCATCGGTTACAGGCGCACATCTAGTAGTGATACATTTTATCACACTTACCTAGCACTATGAAACCGACTTTTTGTCAGGCTTGTAATTCTCCTTTGGTGGCATAAAATGACACCGTACGGTGACCGGATCCTCTTGCGACTGAGCCCGGTTCCAAGCGATTCGATCGGCAACTCAACAGCCTTCCGAGTTTGTATCTCTGAATTTAAGGAAACCCTGATTATTCTTCTTTTTATGTAGTTAGGATTTTCTAAATAAATTTTTTTTTTTTTTGTTTCGGCTTGTTTATTGGATCCAAAATCACAAGCTATTTTTCTTGCAGATATCGTCCGATTCAAATCCTACGCGATTATCTGTTTAAATGTTAGATATTGTGATTGAATTTTTGGAAAGCTTTTCTTCATTCGCATGCTAGCATTCTCTGTGTATTTTTCTTTCTTTCTTTTTCTGTATTTTAGTCACTTATCAATGTCAAGTTCTGCACTTTGTTATTGTAAATTTTCGATAAAAATGAATAAAATTTCTTATTTCTTTCGTATTTCTGTGTTATTAAGATGTTCTGTTTCAGTGTCAGGAAAAAAGATGATCTGTTTGACACGTGGATGATGAATGAATGCAAATTAGGTTTGGTTTGTTTATGCCAGAATAAACACAAGATCGAGATGGCACTGATTCTTGTCCTTGAATAATCAGTATAGAAAACTCCATGATGCCTCCTTTTAATTGCTTCTTGTACTAATCGTGCTTGAATGTTTTGGCCTTAAGGTTAATTTAATTGTCTGGGGAAGGTTTTTAGTTCGTTTGCTGTCTCGTGTTGACTTCTTCCGCTGGTGCTTAACAATTATCCTTGTACTCTTTTGAATAACTGGAATTTAGCAAAATGTGAAATAGAATTTCTAGTAAGCACACAATTGATGCATGGTTAGGTTATATTCAACGTGCGTGGTATAATGCTAAGAGTTTTTTTGACAAATGCTGTGGGTGGGGTTTTTTCATTCATCTTTCTATATTAAGTAGGTGTTTTAGCTACTTCAATGAGCCTCTTATAGTATTTGAAAGATTGAGACTTCACCGGCCTTCCTTCATCTAACACTTCATCAACAGTTGTTTTCCTCCTGCAATTAAGCCTTTCTCTTCTTTACATCTTTAGCTCATCTAAAGTATTGAAAATTCTTGTTGACCAATCTCTCTATCTGTTAGATATTGGTCGCATTTTCCTATTTTTGTTTTCTAATAACTTAAGACCGCTCTAGTTCTTCTGTCCGTGTTATTTACTTTTTCATCATCTACGTATGATTAAAAATCCTCTTGTAGATCAATACTTGAGAATTACCTTTCTTCCAACATGTCCTGGACTTACAAAGGTGCATGCCCCAGGGAAGGCTGGGAAGCTGAATTTTCTGTTCTTTGTGACCTTGTTTTAACCTGCCTCAGCCATGGGCTGATATATTTTTCCTAGACAAGTATGGGCTATCTTAAAAGCTACCAACCTTATAAACTCGAAAATAATTGGAGACTAGCGAAGTGAAACGCAACTCATGCAGTAGACTCATAAAACTAAAGTGTGATACCCTGCAAAATGATGTTTACGATTTGTCAGAGGCAGATGGAGGGTGGGCCGGGTGGTAGGTGACCTACTGACCTGTTACATGTAACTGCACTCATCTCCTTCCCCCCCCAGAGGCCTGGTTGTGGGAATGGTACTTCGTTTGATCATTCTATGTCTCTAGTTGCAAATTAGTTACTTTGTTTGATCATTCTATGTTTCTAGTTGCAAATTAGACTTTTAATATTGTTTAAAATATATAATTATGCGTGTTTTAGATGGTTATTGTTTACTACGAGGATAATTTTTAAGATTATTTTACTTGTTTGTGTTGAGGTTTATGCCTTGCCCCTCAGAGGAAAAAAGTATCGAAACCCAATTTAGTCTTTCTCAGAAACAGGTCACACCCATGACCCATTTATTAGTTATCCCTGTATCCACTAGATAACAACACGCCACAAAGTGAGAACCATGCGGTGAAAATTTACACATGCAGAGTGGTATTAAAGCTCATTACGAGGTTCCTAACTTTTCAGTTGAACATATTTTTCCACCTAACATTTGTTTTTGTGTTGTCATTAATGAAGTTGTGATTAACTCTCCAGGAACTCTGTACCTTTAGCCACGTTGAGGACTCCGTGCACGATGAAACAGTCACGATTGATCTACTCTTCGGAAGAAGCTATTGCATTTCGGAGGTGGGATAGTGTGTAAGGGGTAAGTTTAAAACTAAAAAGGGTTCTAATGGTGAATAATGGATGGACTATGTATCATTCATCATTTTTGTGTAATGGACTCCTTTTGTCCATTGCAATATCAATTATTATTATTTTTTACACATTGAGAAAATGTTAAAATTTCGTACTTGCAAGTTGTGATGAATTTTCAATCAATCTTGCGTCCAATGTTAAATTAAAATATTGACTTTATACGATTAGTATGGCATTTTAACCTTTGTAGGTTACCAGTTAGTTTCTGAATCTTTTTCCTTCTTTACAAAACTGTAACCATCTGTTTGTAAATTATCAATGGTTTAGATTTGAACAATACTAGAATTTAAGATGACAAATAATTAAAGTCATTTAAATATCATGATGCTCGATGCTTGCAAGGTAGCTTTCTTCAATAATATCAGCCGTTCAAGACATTTTACGTACAAACCAATCTTATTGTTAAATGAAAAACTAGAAAGTGGAACCAATCATTTTTATTCAGTAGAAAAAATAATATTTCTGCTGGGAAAAAAAAGTGCTCGAGGGAAAAATGAAATAACAAGTCGAAGAGTGAATGGGGCATCTTATGTGATTGGACTAACTTATTGAGAGACAATTTACTTGATAAAATTTTAAATATAAAATTGTTTCAATCCATGAGCCTCTCTATATGAAAACTACTATATGAATAATGCACGTCTCTCGGGGCATATTTCAGTGGTGCAAAGGACAAGTGTGACGTATATTTAACTTTGTTGGCAGCCGTAGCGTGAGGGTTCGATTCCTGAAATTTGAATTGTGACTCTTTGTGGGCACCAGTGTATATACAGCTCTTGTTCCTTGATATGCTGGAGCACATCCTTCGATTAACCTCTTTCACGATATTCTAGGAACAGAGCGGTGGGAGATTCTTAATGTTGGGGTTCAACCTTTTTTACTATACGAATAATGCACTCATGCTCGTATCTTTTTCTCTGTGGATCCATCTTTTGTTGAAATTCTATACCCAAGTCATTTTAAGGACTTTGTACCGAGTGAAATTTGGAATGATTAATCCCTGCTCTGAATTCTCTCGAGATTGGTGAAATTATGTACTCGTACTTAATATTGAGAATAATATTATACCTACATATTCGTGTACACATGAACCTCCTTCTATGGGAGAGACATAGCATTTTTCGCTCTTCAGGGCATAGCTTAATGGTGCAAAAGACAGGAATGATGTTATCTCACGCCTTGTTGACAGTCACAGTGTGAGGGTTCAATTCCTGAGACATAGAATTAAATTCTTTGTAGACGTAGTATTTAGACAGCTCTTGTTCTCTAATTTGTTGGGGCACATTCCACGATTTAACTCCTTCACAAAGCTCTAGGAGCGGGACGATGGGGGCCTTCAAGATTGGGGTTCAATTTTTTTTTTTTTTGACATAGCATTTTCCTAATATTGAACTCCTGTTTGATTCTCATTATTTCCCCATTAAAATAAAAAATATGATCGTTATTTATGGCTATATTATTTGTTCTTATTTTTACAAAAATGGGAAATAAATGTGGATAGTAGCATTGGTAGTGGGAGAAAGTTGTGTAAAAGAATTGCTGTAAACAATTTGGCTATATTCGGACTTCTGTCTAATTTCCCAAAAAACAACTAAAATAAAAATATATAAATATAGGACGACTTTGAACGGATCTTCGTTCCATCTCCTATTCCGCGTTATCATTTTCATCTCTTTTGATTTTCTTCCAACGCGGAAATGGGGAAGAACTGAATCTATTCTCACTGATTTTCGTTTTCAAATCCTCGTAAATAGTCAATTGTTATCTACCCAATTCAAACCCCATAAATAGTTATTTTTATCTTTGGTTAAATTCATTTTCCCGGGAATATTAATGGGGACTCCGGCATTTCCAAATCTCGGGAAACACTGCAGCGTCGAAGTTTGCCGGCAGATCGATTTCTTACCATTCACCTGCGATTGTTGCCACCAGGTATGTTGATTCAAAATATCCCTTCTTTTGTTCAAACTTATTCCGTATCATCAATTTTTTAGTAATTGGGATTCCATTGAAGGTGAAATTCATTGGGTTTCACGTTTTATGATGAGTGCCAGGGAAAAATTTTATTGAAGCCGGAAATACTGTCCACTTTACGGTTAATTGCACAATATCTCATGATTTTTACTAGGATGGAAGTTACTGAGATTTTACTTTTATCTTACACGGGAGAAATGAAATAAATGGATATGAGGGGATTTTAAATAATTGTTAATTAGTCTGCGATTAATTCAATGTTAAATTTTCTTTTGAGATGGAGTGTTTAAGCTTACATATTTCAGGCAAAATATTTTTACAGTGATGGAACTTAGTTTGTTTATTGTTTACTAAATAAAATATGAAGAGGTAAGAAATCGAATATGTTATCATGGCCAAGTTTAATGTCTAGAGCCGTGCTATAAATGAAAAGGTGAGCCTGGTACCATGAAGGAAAAGGTTGGAGGAATTTTTTCTTCTCCATCAAGAGGGGGAAGATGTTTTATCTATTTTTGTGTCCCCTGAAATTAGTGAAACTTTTGAAGGAAAGAATCATATCTATTCAGATCTGTCTCAGCGAGAGATTTTTTTTTTTTTTTGGATCTTTGAAGTGCAATACCTTGGACTCGAGTTACTCGGTGATATGAACAAAAGGCTCATCATATTGTGAGTGGAAGAACAAGATAATTCATGAGAGAATAAGTTTATGTATCTTGAATGCAATTAAAAAGAACAACCATTTTCTTTATAAGTCAGAGAGGCGAGAGAGCTGTAGGAAAGAAACCATACAGAGTAGAATGAGTTATGTACAAATATTGCATACTCTCTCTTTTCCTTTTCCTTTTCCTCTTCCTTTACTCCGTTAAGTTGACATTCTTTGCCCTTTTCTTCTTCTAGGCACACGTGATATACTGGTTTTGGCTCAATTCTGTCCGGTCAAAACTTTAATTGCTTGTTCTGTAGAGAACAGTTCTCTACATTATTAACGATGAATATGAAGTTAAAATCATGTCAATTGGATTGTACAATCCTGTCCACTACTGCGCACCATACATGCATTAAGGACATCAACTGTCAGTAGTTTTACCTGTGCAGCTAATGATATCTGTCCAATAAGATGGGAGGACATTGGTAATATTTGTGATTGACATGATTAGTATCTAGGTCAATTTTAATAGCTTCAGCTAATATATTGACACACAGCAATTCTCTAAGCAAGAGTTATTGGTTTTTCCCTTTTAGGTGATGTTCATTTCCATTTGTTAGCTAGCCTTTCCCTTCGACATGATTATTGTATTTTTCCTTACTTATGCTAAATTGCACTGGATAATTCTCACAGGTATTTTGTCTAGAGCACCGGAGCTATGGTAGGCACCTATGTCCCAAAGCCAACAAACATGATGTCACCGTGGTCATCTGCCCCCTCTGTGCCAAAGGAGTTCGCTTAATTCCTGATGAAGATCCGAATATCACTTGGGAATCGCATGTAAATATTGAGTGTGATCCATCAAACTATGAGAAAGCCACAAAGAAAAGGAAATGTCCAGTACCCAGATGCAGGGAACTCTTAACATTTTCGAACACAGTCAAGTGTAAGGATTGTGGTGTAGATCATTGTCTGAAACATCGGTTTGGACAGGAGCACAATTGTCCTGGGCCTAAGAAACCCGAAGCAGCTTTTCAATTTATGGGCTTTCTAAATAGAAGCAGAAAGGAGGAGCCAAAGCAAGCTGCCTTCTCATCTTCATCAAAGTGGGCTACAAGCTTTCTTAAAGCCGCTGAAGCTGGAATGGCACGTTTAAGCAGTGAATTCAACCAGGTGTTGGGCAGGGACGGAGAAGGGCAGAGCAGCAGCAGCAGCCGTGGTGGGAGTGCCAGTGGGCAATTCGAACAGTGTCCGCAGTGCAATTTAAGATTTTCAACAGTTGGGGCTCTGGTGGATCATGTGGAGAAAGTACACGAAAGGAATGGTGTTATGAAGGTGACAGTCGACGTATGCCCCAAATGTAGTAAAGGATTTCGTGATCCGGTGGCCCTCGTGGAGCATGTTGAAAAGGAACATGGTGGCGTTTCAAAAGCTTAGATAGAATTCATTGTTGAACGAACATGGTGGTGTTTCAAAAGCTTAGACAGAATTCATTGTTGAAATTTGAAGATGCAAACATGGCTGTTCTTTTTCTATACATTTACATTTTATTAGTCTTATGACAGATCTCTGTTAAATTTCGAAATTTGTGTTTCCACCCTTTTTTTTATTTTTTTTGGAAAAATGTGTTATTAAAATCATATTGTTTTTCTAGAATGTTTACTCAGTTGAAATTGAAATTAGGGTGAATCTCACATCATTCGCTAATATGTTATTTGTCAATATTTGACTTTCTAAATTGCTTAAACTGTTGTCACTCGATATTTATTATTACTCGATATTTATTATTGCGTTATGGCTTGTCTCATTTAGTGGATGAGAAAATGTTAAATGGGATGGCTCATCTTTTAAATAAGTACGCATGGAACAATTCTATGTAAGGCATGTATTTGTCATGTTACGGAGTCTTAATGAATTTTTCAGATAAAAGCCATAATTGAGGACTACTAACATCAAAAGATAAATGTTGGTTTAATAATATTAAGAAATTAAAGTTGGAGACAGAAGCTCAAAAATGTGTCAAGGTTAAAGACGACAACTTCAATTTTTCTTAAAGCGAAAAACAAGTCGAGAAGGAAAATAAAGAGTTACCATAAAAGCAAAACGACATCGTGTATCCGATAAAAGCCGTAACCCACTCCACGAAATAGTATTTTCTTCGCCTCTCCCTCTCTCGAAATCCATACGGGTAAGAACTCCCTTTCCAATTTATAGATTTCTGTATACAAATATATGCATATGTGCTTATGTATACTTGTTTATTAGTCTGAATCGCGTAGTTAGGATTTCATTTGAACATTTCTCATATCACGAATTTATGGTTCATGTTGTACTCCATATATTACTAAACGCCATGCTATAGTGTAACAATCTGATTTTTCGTTGTTTATTTGATACATTATTCTCGATTCGGGGATTTCAACGCCTGATTTTATGCTTCTACTCCATTGGGATCTGTTTGACTATAGAGAATATTAAAGGAGAGTATTTATTTTTTTAACTGTTCAAATTGTTGATAGAATGATATAGTACTCTTGTATTTGCCTATTTCTATTTATGTCCCAGTGTATGTGGATTTACAGTTTAGAAATTTATGTAATGGAGGACAAATTGTAATGTTCATTGCTAAGTTTTCTTTTGACAGTAGAATTTTTATGTGGATGAAGATGTATAAATGTGAAGTTATTTACATATTGAGGAACCAGATCTAGGTCTAATTCCTCTTCTCTTTTTAAGAGTTCATGTATCGTTGAGGCAATACATTTCATTCTATTTTTTAGTAGGTCTTTTCATTGTATCTCTATCGATTTCTTTATGTTTTGAGATCCCAAAGTATTGAGTCCATGATCTGCAATCCTTTTCTTGCACTGAAAGATGAAAATACCCTTTTCTTTTGACATTGGATGATTTGGGAGGATTTAAAGTATTCTAGGCTCTACCGATGTTATACACAAATATAACCTTTTGCTCACTAAAGAGTAAAGACAGTTTAAACACTTAGCGGAGTAATCGATCCAGTTAAGTAGGAATAAGGATTACTTTTTAGTTGTTATTGATGGTGGTGTAGAATGACAGAGGTCTTACTTAGCCTGCTATACTTTTTCCTATATTAAATAACAACCTGTGGCTTCATATTTCTTTACTCAGTTGGAAATTGTACTAATCAAATAAAACAGAGGAAAAAAATGAATTGTGTTTTTGATCTATCTTTGTATTAGAATGCTATAGTTCCTCCTGGAATCTTCTCAATTTAACTTAGTTGGAAGAGGTAGGCTTTGAATCGAACTTGATCTTGAGCTTAACAATCGAGGATGTAATTTTGTTCTTGATATGAATATTTTTTGCAGCTGTTTGAGTTCAAAATGGCAGCGAAATATATTCTCTCTTCAATCATGGGAACAATTGCAATTGCATATGTATGCGACAATTTAATTGCTGACCAGAAGATCTTTGGAGGCAAGTACTTGCTAGCTTCTTTAAACTCAGTGCAATGGTTTTATGGTATGACCTTTCTCGAATTTCATTTCAGGCACTACTCCGAAAACTATCTCAAGTAAAGAATGGTGGGTAGAGACTGACAAGAAGTTTCAGGCATGGCCTCGTACTGCTGGTCCCCCTGTGGTCATGAACCCTATCAGCCGCCAAAATTTCATTGTCAAGTCCAGCCTTGATCAATGAAGTACTGCTTCCTAGTCTTGGTCCCTTTTTCTTGTTTTTAGATGAAGAATTTATTTGTTATAGTTATTTAAAGCATGGAATGAAGTGAAGAGTGAATCTATTATTGAATTTATGTTTTGTTTGCTTACATCGAATATGAATTCATAATAAGTGTTGTATGCTTGGCATACTTATGGAATTATTTCTCATCTTTCGCAAATTTGCTCGCTTTTTGGCTGTTATGAAATCTATCTAGTAATTTTACCTCTTATAAAATAGCTTGTTTAGTTAGGTCTGGATTTGGGGGAAAAAGAAGAAGTTATACTTCAAGGAGGCTTTACCTGGAATGAAAGAATAAAAATGGATCCATGAAGGTTTAACTACTATTTCTGCTTCCCAATGGTATGTTTCGGGCTCTTAACGCTATATCTACTAAACTATGAAGAAGTATAGATAGTAGAAATACAAGTTCAGGAGGAAGACATACATTTAGTTAAATCAGAAGATTTGGATGAAATAAAAATTAAACAATAAAATCAATTGAACTGTAAATGTATACTATACAGACCAAAAAATATATATATATATTAAATAAAGAAAAAAAGTAATAATAATAATAATAATAATAAATGTGAAATGAAAAATTAGGCCATCTGTCTTGCCTTTTTTGGTTCCTGCTCTGATTCTTCTTCAATATCACTAAAAAAATGTTCATCAAGAGGTATCGGTGGTTCAATATGAAAATTAGTAAAATATTCTAGATCAAAAGGTATTCCAGAATTATCCGTTGAGGTCGATACTTTCTCACAGCCACTGAGAATATTCCAGAAGTCTGGTTGAGACGAGGTTGATTCTTTTTTGCAGCCATTGGGGATATTCAGAAAGTCTGATTGAGACGTGTTTTGAATATTCAAAACGTCTGATTCTTCCAATGCTGGCGTGTTTATCGCGCTCACATTATTCTTCTGCATCACATTATTGTTATTTGTATTTTCAGAATTTAATGTCGATTCTTCCAATGTTGGCATAGTATTTGCATCTGCATCAATGTTGATCATTCTCGCTTTATCCTGCTGCATCAGATTATCATTACTAGAATTCAATGTGTATTCTTCCAATGTTGGCGTTGTATTTGCATCTGCATCCGTTTTGATCATTTTCGCATTATCCCACTTCATCAAATTATCATGACTAGAATTGAATGCAGATTCTTCCAATGCTGGCATGATATTTGCATCTGCATTGGTGTTGATCATTCTCCCGTTATCCCACTGCATCACATTGTCATCACTAGTGTTTGTTGCGGACTCTTCCAATGTTGGCATAGTATTTTTATCTGCATCAGTGTTGATCATTCGTGAGTTATCTTGCGGATTCAGATTATCATCATTAGAATTTAGTGCAGAATCTTCCAGGATTGGCATGGTACTGCTGCCAGCATCAGCACCGTTCAATGGCTGATCATGATTTTCTTGATCGATCATTAGTTGATCACCACCTTCTTGATTGTCATCTCTATCGTTACCTCCTCTTGTTCTGTATATTTTACACAGAACCCACTTGTCCAACTGCATGAAAATAAAATTGTAGCATTCTTTTCTTACTAAAGCAATAATAGATTGAATGAAATTGATAACAACCAGTCATGCTTTATAGTGATTAGCCCTTGTGTGAACCTAGACGTAAAAAACGAACCTCAAAAAACTCGTTTAATACAGTGTGAACATTAGGTTGATGAGAAATGAACCAGTGTTGCTCATCAAATAATTGATGGACGGGTTTCAATTAATTGATGGATGAGTTTATGATTGTATCGGAAATTTCAATAATTAATAAATTAAATTAAAATTCATGTAGTCGATCTAAAATTACAAGAACAGAATAGTTTCACGTACCTTCCCGGGGTTTCCTTTTGTACCGGTGAATGGAGCATCACTTTTTAGCTGAATTCTATATTCATGCATTTTCAAATCTGTTCTAGGTCCTTTTTGATGCTTCCCTTCATAAAAATCCAATACCAGTTTGTATCCAATGGGAAGATTATCATGAAAGATGGTCTTATCAATTCCGGTGGGCTTCCAGTACCCATTGACGGCGCTGCGTCGCGGCCGCTTCCCTTTGGGATACTTCCGTTCCCTTGACGTAAAGAAGTACCATTGTCCTTCAAAACTGTCATATTGCTCTGCAAATATGGAAATTGTATTGTATACAATAAATATTTATAGCGAAAATATTCTTGTTGGTTACTCAAGTTCAAGTTGATTTAAAGTTTATCAAAAACTTTACTTTTTGTTTCGGTTTGATCACTCAGTGGAATTCTGTTATTCATTCAAACAGAACCCGTAGACGTTCCATTAGAAAAATTAGCAAAGTTTAATTGAGGGATCAAATTGAAATAAAAAGTAAACTTAGAACACTTTAAAGAAAATAAAATTTAATAAGTTGAGTAACTAACAGAGGGACTACTTATCTAAAAGCTTAAATGATCCAATTAGGACATGGACATATTTATTTTACTTAATTTTATTGTTGAGCATACTCATGCAAAAATTTACGAAGTTCTTGTTCTAAAAATTTTTAAAAAGAGGTCATAGTCAACAATTAATTTTAATTACATATTTAATGGGCCCACAAAATTTATCTATCTTTCAATTATAGATTTCATTAATTTTTATCGAAATCTACTAGAACTTTTATTAAAAGCCTTGTTAAGCAAACTTGGAATTACTTTATGGTTTCTCAGTAAAAGATAATCATTGAATTAATTCTTTTATTTTTTGGTGCCCTCGTGCATCCATAAAGACAATTACTTATAAAATAATTTGTCTAATTAGAAATTAGTACCAGGATTCAATTTAAGTCCGTTTTAAGGAAAATGTCATGTGTTTGAATATTATGGATGCGATTGAAAATCCGTAAAGGATTAGATGAGCTCAGGCTCTCCCAGTATGGAAAGTATGTAAATTAATGATTTTGACATAGAGGCTGAGTTATTACAAAAAACGATTGTTTTTTGTAACGATCTAGCATCTATGTTCAGGCCGTTAACTTATGTACTATCTACTTTAGGAGAGTTTGAGTCTATCTTACTCCTTACGATTTTCTATCGCGTCCTCACGTTTCGACATTTCGCTTAAAACTCACTGATTTCTATACTTTCCTAGGACCCTAACCCTTGACATTTCTCTTAAACTCTCCTAGAATTGACAGCATATAAGTTAACGACTTGGATATGGGGGTTGAATCGTTACATAAAAATGGCAAGTTTGGCAAGGATGAATGCTTTTCAAGACAAAAATTGGACAATCCCTAGAAAACCCTTTAAATTACATAAGTTAACTTTAGAATAAATGTAGCCATTTTAGAAATTATATTTAACACAACTCTAATTGTTTTCATGCCCTATTTAGCAGACAGGTAGTTGATATTACATCGACCATTGCCATATTTAGTCTTGTCCAATATCGTACTACAAACGTGCTTTACCAAAGTTGATCAATAATTAAGCATTATATTCAGAGAGAAACATACCAATGAGTTCGTAAGGATTGGAGTCATAGATCAGGACATCGTGAATAATCCCGTTACACGGTAAGGGTTTGTTCTCAACCTTGTTCTTCAGGTACTCATTTACCAATTCCTCGTCCGTGGGTAAAAATCTATAGCCAGGAGGAAGATTCTGAATTACGTTTTCGCTATTCTGTGGAATAATTTCTGCATTATTGGGCATTAATAGATTGTGCTCGTTCTGAGGGAATTGCTGAATTGGAACATGATTCTGGTGTGGCTGAGAGTTAATGTTTGTTGTATTATGTAGCATCATGTACCATAACTCCAGCGGATTGTTAGTACCCGGTACCGCCGTGTTCTGGTGGACAAGGTTCTGCTGCACCTCCTGGTCGAGGCCGCGGACGACGGGGTGGTCCATAGGACTATATTCCATCATGTTCCGGTAAAGCTGGAGGAGTATCTGATTTTGCTCCTGTTGCTGGTGGAGGTACTCGAGCTGCTGATGATTGTAAGCATTGTGTGCCACCGCGTTTTGATCATGCTGCAAAACCCCCTCGTGGGGGCCGACAGGGTAGTTCTGGTGTCGCTCCTCCCATAGGCTGTGGATGGTAGTATCATTATCTACAAAGCTTTGAATAAGCAGGTGGCGGAACTCATCCTCCTCCTGCTGCTGGGGGTTCAAGGGATCAGAATGGTTATTTTCACTGTCCATTATGATACCTGAGATAAATTTCTGTTGATGATATCTATGCACGTACGTACATATATAAGTTTATTTTTATTTTTTATTTTTTATTATCAGAAGAAATATTTATTTAATTAATAAGTATTCTAATCCTAAAGAGAGACCGAGAGATTACCTATTTCTAGTGAATCAGTGGTAACCTAATCCATAATGGAGACTCTGTATTTACATTATTTCCGAGATATACGGAGGTGATCAATGAAATCCACTTTCGAACATGCCTCAGCAGAGAGATGAATTAGTGGTTAGTTGAAGAGAACTGTTAACAATTAATTTGATTAAAAATTTAAGTCTTAACAATTAATTTTAAACATGATGTTTATGAACCTACATCTTTTTAATTGCATATTCCAACAACTTATATAAAAATTTATTAAAAATCTGATTTTTATTTAAATCAAATAGGGGCCTAATGATTAAGGCAATCCTGTAGTAATTTTTGTATATAGCTCTCCTAACTCGCTATGCTATATTTACAAAGGTGGGTTACCTGATCCAACATTCAATCCCCGTTTGACCTTCATTGTCCCCAAAATTTATCTCTCTCTCTTCACACATATATTGAAAACTTTTACATCTTTTTCAACCCCACATTCTTAAAAAAAAAAAAATTACTATTTCGAAAATTATAATTGCCACCTAATGGGAGCCAAACGGGGGCTCATTCTTGATAGTTGAAAGACGGTGTTTATTTTTATTTTTATTTTTTTTACCCCATGTTAATTGAATCGAATTACGTTTTTTTAGACATTACTAATTCAAGAAATAGTGTTTGTATACATTGTTCCATTATATGGCTTGCACGGCAATGACTCAATTTGCTCATGATCAAAGGTTGAGGACTAATTTACTATTCAGACTGTAGAATGGGACCAATGTGCAATTCTCACAAACGAGAAAATTGGAATTTCTTGTAGGGGTGGATATGGTTCAATTTGAACGATTTGTGACAAATTTTCAAATCATACCACTTAATGAGATTTGATTTTTTTTTCAAATCAAACCACTTCTATTTTTAGGTCAAATTAATCCAAATAATTTTTTTTCGGTTTGATTCGGTTTAAAATTTAACGAAGAAAAAGAATAACATGTATTGAACAAGTTGAATCATAAATAAAATTTTATATCAAAACATAAATAATATCATTAAAGATATTACAAACCAAAGTTCTATAACTATAATGCAACAACATGTTAAAAATATTTTAGCCTCATATTTGATAATAATTGGCACATCATCTGCGGTTGTAATATATGATTCATTCTCTCCATAAAGATAAGAATATGATTTTAGAAATTTAAGGGACAATTTTGTATTTATTTGCATTGAATTTTCACCAAAGTAATACATTGAAATGCTCATTGATTAAATTTTCAAAATAATCTTATAAGTAATCTATTAAACCAATCTAGCCATTAAGAGTAAAAACTAGAAAATAAATTAAAATGTAAATATTTAATTAAGTGAACTGACCAGAATATCGAGAAGCAAATAAACATAAAATGTTATCTGCTAAAAATTTAAGGGAGCCCGACACAAATTAGAACAAAACAACACAATTATCAATAAAATTTAAAAATAATTACCAAAAATAAGAAAAATTGAATAATCTGACTTGAAAATTTTGCCAAAATTCAAGAAAATTATTACTAAAAAGAAAAAAAAAAGAGTGAGTTTGAATTAAAAATATAGATTCAATTGTTTGCTCACTTGTAACGGGGTCGATGAATATGATTCAACAACAATTGTTCAATATTTTACTCAATTTGAGGGTTTTACGTTCATAGTTGTGATGACTGATGGGTATTTGGTATGATTTAATTAATTAATTGGGATGTATAATTGTATATTTATGTATTGGATTTTATTGGGTTATATCTATTATGAATGTATCTTTTTCACGAGGATATATTTAATTTTAATTGTGTACGATAAAATTTAAATTAATTTATTTTCAAATTTTTTGTAAACAAGTTGACGGTTTAAAACGATTTGCAAAGGTTAAAACATAAACCAACCGCTTTGAAGTAGCCTGGATTGGTTCAAAACCAAAATATTGACGGATTCATGTGGACCCAAATCAATGATTTTGAAAAAGCGGTTTTATTTGATTTTGCGGTTTCATTTTTCAACCCTAGCTATTTGTTAATAATTTAAGGCTTCTATCTCGGTCACATATTAACGAATTGTTAAAGGTTTCTTGTTACTATGCAACCAATTTTTAGGGCAAATCATTGCCTCATCCACATTTTCATTCAACGTACTCGTAAAGGAATCAAGAATCTAACTGTTAGTATGAAATGTAGACTAAAAAACATTGGTGGGTATTTCAATAGCTATCACATCTTTAACAATTTGAAGAATAATTTTGTTTTTTTTTTATTTTTTTTTTTATTTTTTTTTTTAATTGGGATGTGTTTAGTTTTATTTGGGTTAGATAAAATTTAACTTAATTTATTTTCATAGTCTTATTGTAAATGGCTTGGTTGTTTGAAACAATTTACAAATATTGAAACCTAACCGAAACATTGACGGATCCACGTGAACCCAAATCAACAATTTCGAAAAAGAAAAAAAAAGGGGGTTCGATTAGGTTTTACAGTTTAATAGTTTCGTTATTCAGCCATAAATTCTTAGACCAGCGTATAAAGTAGTTATTTATTCACATTCACATGGATTACACATTTCGAGCATTTATGGCTCAGCTTAAATGCCAAAGAATAGTTTCTTTTGGACTTTTTTGGCAGTACAAGTAGTGATAGTGAAAATAAGTAGGTTTCTTTTGTAGAAGAAACGCGGCCAAACATGCTCTAAAAGTCTAGGTGATGAAGCTAAAGCAAATATCAATAGCAGAATTTTTTTTAATACAATGAAGGCAACCACCCTGAATTAGATCACAATAGGAATTTCTTAGAAAATTTTAAGGTAGCCAAGTATTTGACACGACAATTGTTTGTTTTATTTAAGGTTCAAAGATCGATTCCTTCAATCTTGTCTTCAACTTCTGAGTATAACTGTCTCAATCTTTCAATGTTTTCAGCAGAAGTTTCCCAATATCCACGTCCATTCGCCTCCAAAAATGTCTGAACTAACTTCCTGAAAGAATTTGGGTTTGTGTTCATTAGCTTGTTCAGCATTGCCTCGTCTTCGATAAAAGTTGTATTTGCCTCTTCATAAACCCAGTTGTCAACTTGTCCTGAAGTTGCACTCCATCCAACTGTGTTAGTTAGTCGTTTCTCAATCTCACGAACACCCTCATAGCCACTTGAAAGCATGCCTTCATACCATTTCGGGTTCAATAATTTTGTCCTTGCATCGAGCCTTACCGTCTCCGAAAGTGTACGAACCTAAATTGTTTAAAAAGGGTTGTTAGTTGAAAGAGATATAACTAGGCTTACGTTTGGTAAGTGAAACTAGATCATACTTGACAGTATAATAAGCATGATTTTAGCCTGTTTTTCATCTTTAATACTGTCGAGCACACTATAATTTATGTTAACAAACAATCACCAGAAGAAATCTGCTGCTCAACTGTTTCTTGATAGCAAATGTAATAGGTCATAGTTCATAACACTTACTTGTGCATTAGCTGTGGTTGTATCAGCAATGTATGCACTCGGTTTCTTTCCATCCTTCCTGAGGCTTTGTACGAGGTTTGTTGGGTCTGAATCAAAGTAGTGACTGACGTCTGTGAGAGAAATTTCGGAAGAGTCGAGGTTTTGGAATGTGGCATCAGCTGTACTAAGAGCCATCTCGAAAATTTTCTGCTTTTCCATCATGCCAGCACCAGGAGCATCAGAGTCAAACGCGAATGACTTTCGACTCAAGTACATTTCTTGAAGTTGCTTCTCGTCATTCCATGATGAGTTCTCAACGGCGAGGTTTATGTTGGATGAGTATGAGCCCGAGGCATTTGAAAAGACCCGGGATGCAGCTTCACGCACATCAACTTTAAGTGCTTTTGCTTGCTCGAGTGCGTGTTTCCTGACATAATTCTGGTCCTCGGGTTCATCTAGCTCTGCAACCAACTTTACTGCCCGATCAAGGAGATTCATCTGTGCACAAGGTACAAGAAGACATGCATATAAGCGGAGGAACACAAAAAGAGGAGTAAAGATGTTTAGAGAGAGTCAAATTGTGTGGAAGTTTGTTGTACTACAGAACTAAAACAATTTTTGTTATGGATTATGCCTTAATCCCAATCCCGAGAGCAATAATAAATGAGCAGAGATCAGTAAAACTATAACATGCAAGGGAAACAGATATTTTTGTGGTTCACCCTCAACATGTAAGCTACGTCAACTCACTCCTATACGTTTTAAAATTGAGAAAAAGAAGTTATGGAGATCCCATTCCTCTCAGTTTGTGCATCTCTAAAAAACCGGTAGGGTAACCTAATACAAATTATGAATGCCCCGTATACCCCAATAACAAGAAATACATGTAGACGTGGTCGTTGGATTAAGCAACACTATATCTGCACAACCCAGTTTTAAAATGATACAGAGAAATTTGTCAATACCTGGTTGATGAAGAGGTCCCTGAACACTCCAGAGCAATTGACGACAACATCAATCCTTGGCCTCCCTAGCTCTTCAAGACTGACTGGTTCAACCCTGTTTACACGTCCAAACGTGTCTGCTACAGGCCTAACTCCAATCATCCACATGACTTGAGCCAATGATTCTCCATATGTTTTGATGTTGTCTGTTCCCCATAGAACAAGGGCAACAGTCTCGGGATAGTTTCCTCCGTTGTCAACCTTCTGCCTTTCGAGCAACCTGTCAACAACCACCATTGCACTCTGCATAGCTGCAGTTGTTGGAATGGCTTGTGGGTCCAATGCATGGATATTCTTTCCAGTGGGTAAGACTTTTGGGTTCCTAATTGGATCTCCTCCAGGACCTGGCTCGACAAATTTCCCTTCCAAAGCTTGTTTCAGACTTCCCAACTCATTATCAGCCACAACTAGCTTCAAGCATTCCCCTAAGAACTGGAAAAGGACTCTGAGTTTTTCTCTGTCGGCTCTGTAAAATTTGGTGTTTGACAAGTACTGGATCCATGGTTCGTTTATACCAAAACCGAAGATTGAAGTCAGCTTGTCAGAAACATCAACGACCTGTCCCTTCTTGTTTGTGCTTTGCTCCACAAATGCAGTAATGGCTCCACGACATGCCTCAGTAATCTGTCGAAGAAGTTCCACATCACGTAAGATTCCCTTGTCACTTCCTCTATAAACATCCTCGATATCTCTTCCAAGAGTCTGGGCCAATATTGCTGGAAGAGATGAAATCCCATCTTCTGGACGATTCAGTGCAGCAATATTAACAAGTGTTGCAACTGCCTCCATTGCGGACGGAGGCTCGCCAATGACATGAAGCCCGCATGGCAAGAGGCGGGATTCAATCTCCATAATCTTGGAATATACCTTCCCAACGACAAGATCTCGTTCTTTGGCTGAGATTTCCTCACCTTCTTTGGGTAGATCAACATCCTTGTCCAGATTGCACTGCCTAGCAGCACTGATGATGGAGTTCACAATCTGAGGGCCACGGCCCGAGTCTTTTAGTGATTGGTAGGACGAGATCAACTCGCTCAACTGCTTGAGTCCCTTGTAGAGTCCAGCATTTTCTGCTGGAGGAGTCAAGTAACTAATAGTATTAGCATAACTCCGACGTTTGGCAATGGTGGCTTCAGAAGGGTTGTTAGCCGCGTAATAGTAGACATTCGGGATGTTTCCAATAAGACTATCTGGGAAACAAGCATCACTCATTCCCACCTGCTTTCCGGGCATGAATTCAAGAGAACCATGAGTTCCAAAGTGAAGGACAGCATCAGCTCCAAAAATTTTCTCCACATAGGAATAATAAGCTGCGAACCCATGGTGTGGGCTCGCTGATTTGGAGAATAGAAGCCGCATTGGATCACCCTCATAACCAAATGTGGGCTGAACCCCAATGAAGACATTTCCATACTGCTTTCCATAAACCAGAAGGTTTTCTCCATCAGAATTCAAATTACCAGGGGGCTTCCCCCAGTTTTCTTCCAGAGCAGTTGCATAGGGAGTCAGCCTCTGGTACTCTCTCACACTCATTTTGTATGCAACGTTAAGATTTGGGCTATTGAATTGAGCCTCTTTATCATGAATTACATCTTCGATTAATGCTTCGGGAGCCTCTGGAAGGCCCTCTACATTGTAACCATCGTTCTTCAGATCTTTGAGGACGGAGTAAATCGAAGCAAAAACATTTAGGTAAGCAGCAGTTCCTACATTGCCTTTGTCTGGTGGAAAACTGAATACAGTGATAGCCAGCTTCTTCTCTGTCTGCATATAAATTATGAAATCATTCTTAGCCAAAAGTTTGAATGTCTCCTTCAAACTAACAGTTCAAATGTAATGATATCTTGAAATCCAGGTTTTCGTGTAGAACTAAATAAAATGATAATGAAGGTTATCGTTAATTTAGTATCACCGAAGATTATAGTTTTAGAATTTCATTTTTCCTCAAATTATGTGTTTATTAAAGTTACGAAAACAGCCCAGCCAATTGGTTCGACAGGAAAAATCGGAGAACGGACAGTTAAACCTAAAGAAGACCAATTTATGTTCATAAATTTTTTTAGTATCCGATTCGACCTCGGTTCAACTCTTTGACGCTATACCTTTTACCTTTGCTGATTCATGCCTTGGTCGGGGTGTTTTAAAACTCCAATGTGTATTTCAAATGCCTTTGAATTGTAGAAAAAATATTTGAATTAAGATCTCTATCCCTTCAGATCATTGGTTTATTTGACCATTAATTTAATCTTTTTTTATTTTTCTTTACATGCTTTTCTTATTTCCAGTCTTCCATAAAATAGAACATAAATCTTGTATTGCATAAAGAGACATACCTTTGTTTTCCTCTTCAGTTCAGCCCATTTGATTGCCCTGGTGCAGAGCTGCTCCACCCTTTTGTGAAGAGCATGTGATTTTCCTGTAATAGATCCCGTGAACATAATATAATTTAGACAATTGAGCCAAAAAAGTCTATTTTGTAACAGAAAGTCAGAAACATGCATTGGGATGGCAATAATGAAATACGATGTATGAGCAACGATTTTACATGGATTACTCTAGAATCACAGAGGATTTGCATTATAAAGGGAAGATATCAGTGAACTTCTATGAAATGGTTTATGGGTTTCAGCCAATTGTCTTGATTGTGAAATATTATCAGGTAATAACAATCCGTATTATCAAAGGATTTCCTATGACTGTCTCTGGTACGAAAACGAGTTGATCATCCATTTTGGTATTTAATTTAATAAAAGAAGTGATATTGTCCATCTAGTAATCAAGAATCTTGATTTTCGGGAAGTACCATATACTAAGACTTTGCTTCCATCTTAAAAGGATAACCGAGGAGTACCCCAAGCACTTATATCAATTTCATCTTTTCTTACACCCTAATTCTTAGTACCATAACCGTTTCATTCTCTTCAAATGAACAGTTTAAAGGCTAACAACTGATAGCAGAGTCGATAAATGGACAACTAGCAGTATTGAACATTTAAATGTACTGAAATAGTAGGGTGAAAAATATACTTGCCTGTTCTGGGATCCCGGCCGGCAAAAACAATCGGCTCCATTCCTCCGTCGAGCTCCGGCAAAGCAACTTGCAAAGCCACCTGAATTGGGTGCAGCCCCAGTGTGCTGTTCAACCACTCCTCTGTTGTCTGAAAAACTAATGGCAGAGCCACCATATAAGGCACATCAAGCTTCAGCAAGGCCTCAACAGCCCTTGGATGATCCTGCCTTGCAGGACCTCCAACAAGAGCAAAACCAGTCAGTGACACCACTGAGTCCACCATTGGCTTCTTTGTTACTGGGTCGACGAAAAACCGCTCGACCGGCCCTGAGAAGTCGAGCCCACCTGCAAAAATTGGTATCACCTTGGCTCCTTTTGCTTCAAGTTCCATGATCACAGCCACATAGTGACTTTCATCACCAGTAACAATATGACTCCTCTGCAGAACCAATCCAATTATAGGTGCATTCTTACTCTTAAGCTTCTCATTTGCATCCCTCCTAGTAACATACCAATTCAAATACTCCTTCACATCATCATACATGCAGGGAGCCAAAGGGTGCCAAATTCCACTATCCAAGTACAAAACCGGATCTGAATAGTCTATTTTCGTCCCTTTTAGAGTAGGAACATAAGAACCAGAAATCATTTTCAAGAAATTCACCAAATTATCAGGTGAACCCCCAAGCCAGAACTGCAGACTAAGTATATACATTCTTGCATCCTGAGCCTTATCACTTGGCAAGTACTTCAAGACCTTAGGCAGTGTCCTTACAAGCTTCAACATACTATCAGCAAACCCGGCAGATGATTTCTTGTTCTTGAATAGCTGGAAGAATGGGCTTTTCGACTGCCCGAGTTGCGACATGCTAAATGATCCCAATTTGTTGAGTCTCATTACTTCAGGCATTGAAGGGAAAACCAAAACTGCATCAAGCCTGTCCCTTTGTTTCTCCACTGCAGCCTTAACCTTTAAGGCCAATTCCTCAACGAAAATCAATGAACCAATGAAGATATTCGCATCCTCAATATCCTTACAGAAAGTTTTGTAAGTATTTTCATCTCTAAGTTCCTCAACTAAGTACCCTACAACCTCGAATGAAGCATATTGCATATTCTTGTTCAGTGTCTGAACTGCAGCTGTAAGGGCTGATTGGTACTGAGCTTCTAATACGACATAGACAACTTTTACAGCGGGGAGGCCTTGGGAATTTTCGGGTACAATTCGTCGAACTTCAGGTGTTGTTTGGGTGAATAATCCATTGCCAATTGCAGCAACTTTAAATTTATGGGGTGTTCTTGAATTGTTCTGGCAGATTCTCTTGGGAAGAAATGAATGAAGAAAGTTGTTCTTTTGTGAAGTTGATGAAAGGTGGGATGTTTTTGAATTGGGTAGTGTGAATGGTGAAGAAACTAAATAAGCCATTTCTCAACTCTGTGCTTTGAAGAAATAATGGCTTATTTTCTTGATTACACAGATAACAAAAAAACAGAGAGTTTGTACTCTTATGACTTTATATGCACAATGATATGGAGAAAAAAGAGAGAATAAGCAAAAATGGGGTGAGAAAATAAGCAATGAATGAGTATAAGTGCTTCTTATTTTCTCCTCTTCTCTTGCAGTCTTGCGTTGATGCCAGTTCAGGAGTTTTATATTTTTCCGCGGGGGTGAAATGAACGAGGGAGGTGGTTTATTCAGCTAGTGGTGAGACAAAGGGACACGTGTTAACAAGCGTAGGCCGCATTTTGAGTTTGGGTTTTGTTTGAGTAGGATTTTAGAGAGAGAAAATGAGCTTGTACTTTGTCTATCTACTGTGGTCGTTTCTTGCATTCTGATTGGTTGGTTTGGATTACAGAGAATTGGGTATAGGCAACTGAGAGGGGAGAGAGAGAGAGTTCGGATGACGATATAGATAGATATTGATACAGATTTTTATGATTGTTCACTATAACGAAACTCTTTTTGTTGGTAAAGACATTCTGGTTTTTTGAGCTTGTGACCCTCAGTGGAAAGGAACTGATAATTTTTGTGTGTATACCAATGGGTCCAGGTATCCTAGTTTGATGCCAGAGGATCCTACACTCAACAACAAAAATTCAATAATTGTTTGCACTGTAGAACACGATCAAATTACACGTTTAAATTTTAAAAGTATCGAATTGCTTGATCTTGTCTTAAAGTCATATTCACAAAACCACAATTTTTTGATAGGTAATCAAATATTTTATTAATCACGAATAATACACAGACAGTGTATTATCAATTAATACAAGAAAAAACAACTTAAAATTAGGCAATCCGGTCTATACGAACAGTAACCGTAGCATTAAACCAAGTATACAATGTCAGTGTATTATCAATTAATTACTCGATATAAATTTTTGCATCATTAGTAGAGGCCAGCTTACAAGCCAAAAATGAAAATTAGATTGAAAAAGATACATAAATCAAATAAATCTCTAACAATCAACTTTAAAGATGCCCTAGAAGCAAAATTGCTACTCTCTTCAAATCTACTCAGTTGGACTCAAATCTTGTCAATGGAATAGATTTCCCAATGGACATTTTCAATAGTTTACATTTCCCTTTTCTTTGGGAAGCTAAAACTTGAAGAAGCAGAATAGGAAGAAACCTATGGGCGAAATCAGTGGCAAAATGGTTATAATTTCAACTGCAACTTTCGACTAGTCCACTTCCATATCAGAAATTGCTTCATTCAATATCTTCTGAAGTTCTTTCACTCTCTTTATTGTTAATGCTACACAATCCTGCAGTCATAGAGTAAGTCGTGTAAGTAAACATTAGTTAGCATCATTCCATATGCCCAAAGGAGTACAGCCTTATAGATGTTAATTGCATATGTTGTTTGACAGTTTGACCACAAGAACACCTAATCCCACTCCCCATAGAAAAAAGAAAGCAAAAAACGAAGGTGCAAACTAACCTGGATGGCTGATGTTTGAGCCAGACCAGGTCCACCTGGTTTATTAAGAGACACGAGCTGCAAAGACGAATCCAATACCACAGTTAAATATGTTTCCATAATAGATTCTTCCTCGGCTGAAGGGTCTGCCAGAATGTAGTTCTTGTGAAGCGCGCATGTCAAGGAGAATGGTAGAGTATCCAACTTCAGCTTTCTCTTCTCTTTATTCACTGGTTCCTTTTCCCACATTGCACCAGAATTTTCCTCAGAAATAAGAACTATTCTTCCATTATCATTGAGAGAAACTACAGGAATTTGCACTGGAAAAGATTGAGGATCTCTTAGTCAGTGACAAAGCAGAAATGTATAACTTGAGGGTGTAAATAGATAAGAAATGCCTTACAAAAGCAAAATAGTCGTTTGCACGTTGCTTAGAGCAAATATTAGAGCTCAGTAATTAGCTATTTGAATAATCAGGACGGAGAACATTAGAATATTATGGCACTAAGAACTTCGCCACTATCTAAATCGATATTATATCCAATCAATAAGAAACCTAAAAGCTGAAAAAAGGTACTTTCTGGATCAGACATCAGTTATATAATCATAACAAGTTCAAAGATTGATTGATCAATCATAAAGTAGAGAATAAATTTTGGTGCTTTGCTATACATTCAGTCACATGAATCAAACATAAACAGTACATTAAAATGAAGTCCAGTTTTGTTTGAATTTACACATCTAGATTCCACTTTCCAGTTAAAAGAAAAACGACCGGGGGGGGTGGGGGGTGGGGGGACCAAGGTTAAGATAAGATTGGACATCGTATCACCATAGATGCATGCACGGCCATAACAACTCACAGTGTGAGAACGCAGCCACAGCAGAAAGCAACGCCGCATCAAATAGGGAGCCATCAGCATCGAGACAGTATATGTCCTGCAAGAGTCATGTAATACAGTAGTACTGAGTATTTAGGCTTCAAGCATTATAGGGCCATAAATTTGAATCATAATGATATAATAAAATACTGATCCATTACCAAGTAGGCCAACCAAGCAGCTTTTCCACTGACCAAAGATAATTCTTTTAAATCAATCATCCCAGAACTGCATAATCACAATAACACCACCAAAAATACAACTTAAAATAAAAGATAGGTAGAATGATTTCTTAGGAGTCATTTTATTCATATTGATGTCGCAAGTGTTGTAAAGGGTAGCTCGGCCAGGTCAGGAATTCATTTAACTGAAACTGTAAGAATAAAAGCCAAGTACTGCATCGAAAAGGTTCAAGCAAAAGGAGAAATCTCCTATTGTCTCATATGCACATAATGACATCCTTCTCTAAGAAAATACTGAGAGTATTACAAGTGATCAGCATGCCAAAAATAAAAATAAAAAAATAAAAAAATGAGGTATCTACAGAAAGAGTATGTAATAAAGTTCAATATATAACTTTGCAGCATACGTCCTGTGAGTCGTTCACCACGTCAATTAGGCTGACGGACCAACGGTAAAGGAACTACCAGAATATTAGCAACTTCTCAGAATCTAAAAAACTTAGGTTCGTGGACAAAAACTGCTGGTTGTTTTGGAAATATCTTCTTTTTTCCCTTTTCTAATTATTTTTAAGAGTATTACATATATCTAGCTTGTTTTATTGAAGTGACGGATATTAAAATGGATGTATTAGGCTAATGTCACGTATCTCTTACCTCAAGATGATGTCAGTTAATTGCTTCGTTATTACTGGTGCTGCCTCTGCTGGTCTGCCAGGGCGAACCAGTGGAGAACAAATTGGAGGCATATGGAAATCAATAGCTGGCACATGAAGTAATAAAATTACGCACAATTAAAATTAAAAAAATTGCAATGGATTGAAATAATACAAATTAATTATGTTTAACCTATGCAACCCTCATCAGGTGACTCCAACTTTGGTGTCATGACTTCCAATTTAACTGCAGCCAGCATGGTCTGAACATGATATAAATACTTAAATTAGTTTTGCATGGGTATGGAATATATTTTTTGCAATAAGTTCATCCTTTGTAGTTCTATCAATATAATTATCAGATCAACATGGGTTATTTATGACAGAGGAGCAGGAATAAACTAAAAACATACTTACAGTGCAACCTATCTTTGCTAATGCTGATCCATTAGCAGATGCAACAGCTCCTACAATTATAAAACATTTGATTTGACGAGGTATGGTATATAATGAGAGAGACCAAGTTCTAAGTAAATAAATAGTAGATTGACTAACCGAGTGCAATTGTTGTATCTCTAGCTCTTCCAAGAGGCCGTCCATCAGGCCGTATTGATTCGAGCAGGTGGCGCTCATAAAAGCGTAGTGGGAAAAGGCGTCTAAATGCATCCACCTCCATCTCTGAAGACAAATCATTTGAGCCATTGGTAGTAGACATTCCTTTTCAATCTATCCTGTAACAAAAATTTGCATCCAGTTTCATAAACCAGAAGCAGATTAACCTATCAAAACATGATTCACTTCTTTTCTATAGTTCTGTCTATTACTTTCCTCCTTTTGACTAACAAAATTCAAATAATGATAAGAATGAAACATATAGAAGCTCCAAAGGATTCGCTCATTTACATGGTATTCAAACAAAATTAATAACACAAGGAAACTAGATTGATGAAAAATGAAATCTACGTGGAAATGAAACTGACTGTTACAATCTAAACCCTGGTGTCGTTAAGCAAAAACAGGAATGAAAACAAAGAATCCTAATGGTGCAATTGATTGAAAACCAAAGTCCAAAACAAAACAGGAAATGAAGCAGAGGAAAAAAGAATATTAAAACGTCTTTTTAAAGCATAGAAGTAGAGAGATTTCAAGATTTTGAAAAGTAGTGCCAAAATGTGTGGGAGGTCAGGCCTGGATGACTCACTCTGTTAAAAAATTGAACAGAATCTAGGCTGGTTCACAAATTGGGCCGTGCCGGACTTAGCTCAACAACCTATGAAGATTGCTCAGTTGGTCCAATTTATTAAAAATTAAAATGTAAAACTAAAAATGAAAAGGGTAAACACATCGATGAGAATATTTATCTTTTCAACTTACGGCTTAATTTCAGACCATATTAAATTTTCAAAAAAACAAGGAAGAAACATAAACACAGCGGGGTTGGACCAGTCTGGGCTACAATATTTGCGAGCTGGCTGGTTGGTTGGTCTGGTTCTCAAATTAATTCTACCATCTTGTTGCCCCAACTCCCATTACCTTTCAAGTATCCTAAAGTAAATGTGTTCTCTACCTAAAACATTTAGAGAAAGTCATCAAGTTTCATGTCTCACCTCAAAAGAAGGATAAACTATCCTTTCTCTCTTCTCTACAAGTGTAATCAGAAATCATGTTATTTTCCTCCCACATGAAATTAAACAAAATTCAAGAATCTTTATAAGATTTAAATGAGAATTTGATGGAATATTAACATATAACTACAGTTTCTTGTTTTCCTAACCTTTAGGTGTATATCCTCTTGATTTCTATGCCAATGAAACAAATAAGATAAATTTTCTGCATTTTCCTTCTTCACATTTTCACTTTCTAAACTCCATATAATACATTGTATGAATCATTTCGACCAGGAACAAATGCATAGAAGAATGGAAAAATTGCTATTACTTGAGCCCCCGTTAACATTTCATTACATTCTATTTTTCTCTCCCCTATTTTTAACTGCACAATCTTCCATAAAATAATATTACACGTAAATCGAAAACGTTTCCTTCTTTTTCAACCACTCATTTTTTTTAATTAAAAAAAACACTGTTACACCCATTTTCATTTCCATTTCCAAAAAATGGGGGCCAAACGGGGGCTGAAACTCTTGTGTAAACACTCTCTTCTCTACGTTAATTAACTCGTAGATATGAATGTCAAAATGTAAATCCCTAGTTGCCAATTCAATTTCCAAATCTAAGTTGTAAGTTTAGTTTGTAATTGAAACCCTGCTTAAAATAAATAAATAAATAAATAAAATTCAGAACCAGTCTGTAAGGTTCACCACCAGAAATCACAGCTTTTCAGTTTCCACCAAAAGCCAAAGCCCAAAGTTCTAATCTTTCGAATAAAATTGCAAAACCTACAACTTGCGGAACCCTCAGAAGAAAAAAAAATAACTCAATTCCAAGAAAAAGTTAGAAATTATAAGCAAGGCATAAATTTCGACGGTCCACCAATCAGCATACTCGGGGGTAAAAAAGAAAGCTTTTTTTGTAATATATTCCTTCAGAAAACACGAAATTGAAGAAAAATGAATAAAACCAAAAATGAAGGGGCAGTTGTAACTAACCCCGAATGACTGTCGACGGAGGAGGTGGCGGCGGTACTAGCGGATGGAGGAGTTGCTGACGGAGAAGTGGAGCAGCAGCTTAGAAATTGAATTTTTGTTCGATTGTTAGGCGGGTTTGTCTTTTAGTGGGCTAATTATCAACCTGTAGATGGCCCATCGATTTAGGCCCATTGGTGAAATTCTTTATCAACTCTTTCTAGTGCTATTTACGTCAAATTTTCAATACCAAGTCTTTCCAACTGGCCCATATATTAATATGCAGGCCCATTAACGGTTTACCTACCTTTCAAAAGTTGTGTTTGGGACTCAAAAACTAGCAAAAATGGAGTGCAACTCGTCAACCTGCCCGTCCGGTTGCTATAAAGATTCCGATTCCGGCGTCGGCCAAGAACGACAATCGGCTTCTGAGAACGGAAGATGCGACTTGGACCTCTATGCTAACAGTCACGTCTGCATCAAATGCAAAGTTAACGAAACAATCGCCGCTACCCATCCCGCTGTTGCTAGTGGCGGCGGGGATGGCAGTAGATTCTGCGCTGATTGTTTCAGGGGTAACTTATTCGGGAAGTTTCGATTCGCCGTAACTTCTAATGCCATGATCTCACCCTCAGACAATGTTCTCATCGCCTTTTCCGGTGGTTCCTCATCTAGGTCTATCTTTCTCTTTAGTATAATGATTGTTTGCGCTGTTGTGTGTGTATACAATTTCTGGTATGTGTTAACGGTTATGTATGGTGCTATTAGAATATGTTTGGCTTAGCTTAAAAGCTTATTTCGGTAGCATTAAGAGTAGTTGTGCCAAAACGAGAAGAGGCAAGGCCAAACTAATTGAACAAAGTACTCTCTGTTTGCTTGAAAGCTCTTTTAAACTGATAGAATAACAAAATTGAACTTGAAACGTTTTACGATGTCGATTTATCAAGCTTTCTCTTTCAGATTATAAATGAAAATAATATCTTAGGAAGTAATCGATCACTCAGCGTCTACTTATTTTCTGGTTTGGCCGAAGCTCGTTTGGATTATCTTAGTGAGAAATTAGGCCAAACTTGACATCAATTTCAAAGCTCGTCCGCATAGCATGCTAAGATTGAAAATGCATCTCAGCTTGACTTGCTACAATGCCAGTGTTGTGAGAAATATGGTTTAGTTGAATTTAATAAAATATGGAGCTTTGTGCTCACAATAAATTTCCTGTGGATTTTTTCCTAAGTAGTGGATTGGTGTTATTATAAATGTGATAAGCAGTTCATAGTTTTCTAGATTTTCGAGGTAAAGATCCGTGTATGGTGGAGATTAAAATTAGATTTTTAGTAGATCTTAATAAAAGTTTTTGATATGTGCGGTTGAAAAGTCGTGGAACCACGAAATATGTGGTTAATATTAATTGTTTGACTTTGACTTAGATTAAAATTTGATTTAAATCAATACCAACCAATCAAAAGTTTCTGGTGAATTTTTTTAAGTAATGGATTGTTGTTATTATAAAGAGTATGTCTTGCTAAGCTTAAAAAGTTAATTTGAGATATTTTTTCCTAACAAGCTTGAAGTTTTTTTACATCTTAACTTTCTTTTTCGGATTTCCATTAGAAATCTCACTTTCTTAGACAGTAAGCAGAAAAAAGTAAGTTTATCCTTTTTCAGCTTAACCGAACATGCTGTGAAAGTTTAATTTTTGCAACTTAAGCGCACTAAATGTCAATAAGATTTAATTTAATTTTTTTTTTTATATTTTATAAGTCAATAATGTACTGAAAGATAATTTCACCATCTAATCAGTGCTTAGCTGTCTGTTGAACTTGAACCAATGTTTTTATATATGTTTTCCTTGTTTCAAAAAGTATAATGATATACTTCCCCGTGCCACATCTTGTGTGTTATAGTGTTCAAGTTGTTCTGAGCATCTTCATCTATCTCCAGGGTGGCTCTTCAATTTGTGCATGAGATGCAACACAAAGCACAGAAGAACTTTGAAGCAAGTAGAGATAAATCTTTGCCAGTATTTGGAGTTGGTGTTGCTTATATTGATGAAAGTGCCAATTTTACAGTCCCTTCTGATGATTTTGATAGAGCGATGGATGAGATGAAACTCATTGTGTCAAATTTAGCTCCACCAGTAAAACAATTTTACATCGTTCCAATTGAAAGTATTTATTCTTCTGATACTGGTGCCGGAAGGCACAGATTGATGGAGTTGATGGATGCTGTTCCTGACGTCACTGGAAAAGAAGATCTTCTGGAGCATCTGCGCATGTTGTCCTTGCAGAAGGTTTTGTTTTGCAATTTCTTGCTTAATTATGCTAATATTAGATTAGGGAAGACATTCACTTTTGCATTATGCTGTATCCAATTTGCAGATTGCTGTTGATAATGGATACACCAAACTCGTGCTAGGAACATGCACATCACGGATAGCTTGTCATGTCCTTGAAGCCACTGTCAAGGTTTTTACCTCCTTCCCCTCACTCCGCAAACAATGACTGAATAAATGAGATACACAATGATGTACATAAATGGATGAAAAAAAAAAAAGAGAGAACAGGAATTTTTTTTGTCAAAGTGATAATTTCTGTTAGCTAGACTGTATAATCACCTTCAATTTGTATTCTTACATTCCCCTTTGATTCAATGGATATTGTGAGAAGAGACTAACTTGGTTATGCAGTAGCTAATCCCAGAAAACTTCATGACATATATCATCTAAAGTTATTAGAGTATAACAGTAGAAACTTTCTTTTGTCAGGGAGAGGGTTACTCGTTAGCTGCAGATATTCAGTATGTTGACGCTAGGTGGAAGATACCTGTGGTTCTTCCCTTGCGTGATTGTATCTCTCAAGATCTGAATATGCTATGCAGTCTTGACAGGTTTGTTGCACAAACATGCAATCAGATCTTTCCTCATCCTTGGAGAGGCTATTTAGTCAGATTTTGTTTCATTTTCCTTTTACTGTGACCAATAATTATTACTTCATGATGGGACTTTCCTTTTGTCAGGGCAGTTTGAAGATGGTAGAAACATTTCAGCAACCTCGTTGTGGCATCAATGGTTTGATATCCTCATTTGTAAAATTGTTGCAGGTGGGAATTGCAATCGTGGTAAATTTATTGTAGATAAATTTCAGATCAGAATCTATAATTTGACGTGTTTTCAGGAGGAAAATCCTTCGCGAGAGAGCACAATTGTAAGAACAGCAGGGAAGCTTAAACCTTTCTCTTTCAATAAGATTTTAGAAGATGATGACTGTAATGTTCATTCGGCTTCTCAGAGGCGGCAAAAGAAATACAATTTAAAGCCTAGCGAATCTCTTCCTCCGGAATCATTTTGCTCTATATGCCATAGCCCGCTTAAGAATTCTGACACTACGAGTTCGAATAGCATTGGGAATGATGAAGCAAGCGTCGGGATCTTTGCAGAGACTTGCTCAAGTTGTCAATATCAGATTCTTCCACGGGAGCCCTCATCTTTGGAATCTTTTCATTCACTCTTGCCACAGCAAATGATTTATCTAGCCAAGAATAGCAGCTTTTACAAGCACAAGTCACTAAGGTTAGAGTCTGTCTGCCCTTGTTTCTTTACATTGATGCCGGCATAACTTGTTAGCTTGATACTAGGTACCATGATAAGTTAAGACAATAGCTCTTAGAATGAGTAGACCAGCTATTTCCATTTTTAGTCAGTAAAAACTTGTGCATTAACTTTTTTACTTGTATGTAAACTTTCCCTTGTTCTTTACACCTTTGTTTTCCCCTCTCCAGGGATCAAATACAAGACTGTTTGTTGTCAGACAGTGAGGACGGAACCTGAATCTGCACTTTTCATTTGAATTCGTTCTTTTCAGCATGAACGAGCAGAAACATTATTAGGCTGCGTTGCTTAATTTCACAGAGAAAAGGCGTTAGCGGGTTGCAGGATAAAAGGATTGAGAGAGAATTATCGACATACGTATTCTGGTGATCATTAAAATGGTTGCAAGAAGCTGGACAAAAGGTTGTATGATCTGAAGTATAATTTTCTTTGATATTTCTCCAAATTTTCGCTTCTAATGTAACCAATCTTATACATACTTGGGATCTTTTTGTCGTGGAACTAACGTTTGATGATCTCAAGAAGATAAAACTCGAGAATGGACGTTGTGTTTTCCTTATATCATCATGTTTTTATTCATTTCGAGTCATTAGATTGGATCGTTAGTAATGTAAGCATAGGAATGCTCAGAGTACCTTTATAAAAGTTACATTTACGAATCAAAAGCAAAAAAAAGATACCAATAATAAAGAACGAACATACCAAGTAAAAACAGGAGGGCAAATTAGGCTCAATACCCTCAAATTTTTATTAATTTGATTAATACTTTATTAAATAATTAAACCATTTAAGAACGTAAATTATTAGTTCTAAAACTACCAAAATCCCAAATCACAAACCAGTGTCCCAACTCTACCCCCCAAAGAGAAACCCTCCTCACCCACGTCTCTGCTTTTCGTCACCGCCATTTTCCTCACCCACAACTCATAGCTTTAACCACCTTATTTGGTGACTTTGTTGCATAATAAATTTAAGGAGTTTTGTCAAGATTGGGCCTTGCAATGATGGGCTATATCGTTACGAAGGGGTTTGCAATGATGACTTCATCGCTATTAAGGGCTTTGCAATGATGGCCTAGGGGTAGCAATTGGGCTCGTCGGCTTGGTCCAGAAAAAGTCCTAGCTGGCCCGACTCAAGGCTTGGACTGAGTCGCATTTTGGGGTGTCGAGCAAAGCTTGAGCAGGCCGTATGGCTTGCCGGCTCAAGCTCATAAGCTTATATCTAAAACAAAACAAAAAACACACACGTTTAAAAGGCAACTTAAAAAATAAATAATAAAAAATACCAAAACCAAAATCTAGCTTGTTCGAGTCGAGCCTAATTTTTTTGGTCGAGCAAAAGCTCGGGACGACTTAGGCCCGGAAAAAAACTCTCTCATTTTACCCGAGCTGAGCCCGAGTCTTGAATTTTGACTCGTGAACCGGCTCAGCTCGACTAGTTGACATGCTTAAATGGCCTTTGTTTCATAATCCCATTACGAGGATTTGCCAAGAAATCACATTTTTGCCGTTTTCATCAGACAAATGCCAAAAAGGCAGATGGCTCTATAAAGACAGAAGGTGGAGATGCATAGGTGTGGGTTATGTAATTTTCATGTTTGACAACTTGGTTTATGATTTCCTTAACTTTTTTGTTATTTCCTTTGTTATTAAGTTATTTCCATTATTGTTATTTTCAGTAATCACGAATAACTACAATTCAATTGGAATAAAAATAGCTCATTTGTTATTCACCCTGGGAAGTTGCCTCATGAATTCTAAGCTGCTCTTTCCTAGTTTAAAGTCTTGTCCAGAATTTTATTATTTATTCTTGTCATTATGTGCTTGTCATTGTTGTGGTAGTAGTTATTTCAGTTGGACAATTTACTTAGATACTTAGTTCACATTCATAACATAATAATTGGGAATAATATTTAGGTTGTTGTCATTGAGACATTTGCGTGCGTTTCCAATGTCTAAGTGTAAATACATAAAGCAGCGCGACTTCTCTATGATTTTTGACAAGAACATTAAAGATGAGAGCGACAGGACATCGAGAGGAAAAGAAATTAAGTAGATTGCAGCTTCTTTATTCATGTTCACTAATTGTCAATAAAATGAGTCATCTCAAAATTTATTTGAACAGTAAATGGCCAAATAAAGAACTAGAATATGGATTTATTTATTTATTTATTTTTATTTTTTTACTTGACAAGAATAATAGTTTTGAGAAAGTAAAAAAATTCTGCAACTAGCCTGTTATATCATCTTCTCTTATTTAATTATGGATTGTGCTACTTCTATTTTTGAATTTCTATCACTTTCAACTTATAGGTTGTTTACTTTCTAATTAAAAAGTGACATTTAACTTTATAAGGCGACGTTTAGTAAAAAAGTGACACTTTCTCAGATGTTAATATTTAATTTAAGCCATTTTCTTGTTAATACTCGACCATTTTCTCAAGTGGGTAGATAGTGTCATTTTTTTTAAACTTTTGTCACTTGTTTTAGTGTTTGTTGCTTTTTTGAATTTATGTTATTTTTTAATATTTGTCAAATTTTAAAATTTCACTCTTCTTTTAGTGTTTGTCATCACTTCATCCCTGCCCCATCCTTTGAGCATACAGACACAGAAAAAAGAAAGAAAAATATAAAATAAGTGTTCAGTTATAGAAAGGAACGGAATTATTCCACCGAATTCTTTATTGAGTAAAATTATTGAAGATGAGAGATGATAATGTATTACCTTTATAAATTATAGAAATAGAAATCAAAATGTTCTTCTGTCCAATGAATCAATGATGATGTAAGTTATTGCATCTCTTAGTTTCTAAAAAAAAAAAAAAAAAGTTGAACCCCAACTTTGAGGGCTCCTACCGCCCCACCCCTAGAGCTTTGTGAAGGAGGTAAATCGTGAAATGTGCCCCAGCAGGTCAGGGAACAAAAGCTACATGTCCACTGCACCTATAAGGAGTCCAATTTCATGTCTCAGGAATCGAACACCCACACTGCGACTGCTAGCAAGGCGTGAGATAACCTCACTCCTATCCTTTGCACCACTAAACTATGTCCCGGGGCGTATCTCTTTGTTTCTAGATTATTCACAAGTCTGTGTACGTTTATTTGGAGTTGTAATCTCACTTTCCTAAATTTTAATATGCACCCCCTTTTATACTAGCCCAACAAAACATGTTGAAAAAGGGATAGACCAAAAAGTGACATTGTCGGAAAAGTGATAAAATATTAAAAATAAAAATAGATGGTTTGGTTGAAGTTATCATTGCTCATGGTGGAGTCTCGTAATCTAGGTACCTCAACTTTCTCAATACTGTACTTTTTCACATTCTTATTGTCAATAACCTTGGATACATTACTTGAATTGATTCAAAGAAATGTTAATTGAATGCAAAATTAAAACAATATTTGAATTGATATATTTAAATTTCCAAACACGCACATGTATCCATATAATTAATTGCTTCAATGATATGCTACGACTTTTTTAGAGAAAAGATGTCACTTTTCTTACATTCTCATTTTCGCCAACACCTTGAATGCATAAATTGAATTTATTCAAATAAATATGAATCGATTGCAAGATTTATTTTTTTTTTAAAAAGGAAGAAATTTGAATTCGTATATTTAAATTTTCAAACACATACAAGTATGTATCTAGTTAATTGTTCTAATGAAATATTGCGATTTTATGTCACTTTTTCCATTCTTATTTTTGCAAAAACTTTTAATGCATTGATTGAATTAATTCAAAAAAATATGAATTGAATGCAAGATTAAAAAAGAGCTTGTTTGGTAGAGATTTTGATAATTGATTTTTTGACCGTTAGAAATAAAGTGAGTTCTACATGTGAGAGAATAATTCAAAAATGACGGCTAAAATAATGAAATAACGATAAAAAAAAATTAATTTTAATTGACTTTTAATTCGTAACAAACAAGCACAATATTTAAATTAGCATATTTACCTTAATTGTTCCAATGATATGCACGGATTTTTTTTCGAAGAAAACTTATAGAATGTAACTTTTCACATTCTTATTTTTGCAAACACTTTGGATGCATCAATTGAGTTGATTTAAAGAAATATGAATTGAATGCAAAATTAAAACAATGTTTGAATTCATATATTTAAATGTTCGAATACACATACACGTATACATCTAGTTAATTGTTATAATGAGATGCTGCAACTTTTGTCAGAGAAAAGTGATATAATGTCAATATTTATCATTTACATTTGCACCATTAGATGCATCGATTGAATTGATTCAAAAAAAAATGAATTGAATTCAAGATTAAAATAATGTTTGAATTTATATATTTAAATTTTTAAACACATAAAAGTATGCATCTAGTTAATTGCTCAAATGAGATATGCAATATTTTCAGAAAAAATTGACATAATGTCACTTTTAACATCATCGTTTCGCAAACACATTGGATGCATCGATTGAGTTGGTCATGAAATATGAATTGAATACAAAATCAAAACAATGTTTTGAATTCGTGTGTATAAATTTCCAAATAGACATACATATGCATCAGTTAATTGCTCTAATGAGATATTGCGACTTTTTCAGAGAGAAGTGATAAGATGTCCTTTTTCACGTTCTTATTTTCGCAAACACCTTGGAAGTATCAATTAAATTGGTTCAAAGAAATATGAATTGATTGTAAGATTGAAACAAGGTATGAATTCGAATACACACACACACACATTTGGTTAATTGACCTAGTGAGATACCATGACTTTTTCATGTGGAAGTGACGGAGTGTCACTTTTTCATGTCCTCATTTTCGCAAATTCCTTGGATGAAACAATTGAATTGATTCAAAGAAATATTAATTAAATGCAAGAATAAAACAAATTTTGAATTCAAATATTTAAATTTCCAAAACACACAAATATGCATCCGAATTTGTTACCTTCACTGTGTTTCCCAAGTACTCATTAGCTTAGATATACCATGACAGGAATGAACCACTCATTAGCTTAGATTTACCATGACAGGAATGAACCACTCATCTGACTTCAAGCAAGAAAAATGCACTTCAATCAACAAGAAATTTTTCTATTTTGCCCAAAATTAAAACAATAACAGACAGGTTGTCGTCTGAAGTTGACCATAGCAACGCTTGTGAATCAAAAACCTTCTCGTAAAGCGACGAAAAGAAAAATAGAGTAAATGCATTGGCTTTTCATCACATCAAATCAATATTCCAGACTTAAATTTCAGTGACTAAAAAATACAACGAACTTTACCTTTTGGTGATCTGATTAATTTCTAAATACCTTGAATGCCCGCTCGACACTACGCCGAATAGAACATCGTTAATGGTTTGCTTATGAATTTGGATTTACGAGAAAAAATTGAAGAAGAAGAACGAGCTTTCATGAGCTTTGAGAGTTAGGGCTAAGCTTTTGGAGTTTGTAATGTGCAGTTTTAATTGTGGATTTTGACCGTAATTAATACGCTTTTTAATTACTAATAAGCTTTTAATAAATTAAGTCCTTGTTTGATAGCAATATTTGCACTAAAAAAATTAAATTTTTATCGTTATTTCACTATTTTAGCCATATTT